CCTGGGTGGCTCAGTCGCTTGAGCATCTAACTCGTGATTTCCACTCAGGTCATGATCTCAGAGTCGTGGGATCCAGCACTGCTTGGGGTGGGGAGGTCCATGCTCAGTGGGGAGTCTGCTGGAGAATCTTTCTCTCCCTCTGCCCCTCCCCCCTCATGTGCACATGTGTGCACGCGAGTGTGCACGCTCACGCTCTCTCTCTCTAATAAATCAATAAATCTTTAAAAAGAAAAGATTACTTTCACTATTCAGGGTCTTTTGTGGTTCCATACAGATTTTAGAATTTAGTATTGCTTTTTCTATTTCTGCTTTAGAACTTTGTTAGGAACAGCATTAACTCTACATATTGTTTTAGATAGTATGAACATTTTAACAATATTAATTCTTCCAATTTATGAGCTTGGACTATCTTTCCATTTATTTGTGTCATCTTCAATTTCTTTCATCAATGTTTTAGCTTTCAGTATACAGATCTTTCACTTCCTTGGTTAAATTTTTTCCTAAGTATTTTATTCTTTTTGATGTTATTGTAAACAGGATTATTTTCTTAATTCATCTTTCTGATAGTTCATTGTTAGTATATAGAAACACAACTGATTTTTGTAAATTGATTTTGTATCCTGAAAAATACAGGAATTACTGAATTCATTTATTAGTTCTAACAAGTTTTTGGCAGAGTCTTTAGGGTTTTCCATATATAATATCATGTCTACTGCAAACAGTTACAGTTTGATTATTCCTCTCCAATTTGGATGCCTTTTACTTCTTTTTCTTGCTTAAACACTCTGGCTAGGACTTCTAGTAATAAGTTGAATATAAGTGGGGAGAGTGGGCATCCTTGTCTTGTTCCTGATCTTAAAGGAAAAGATCTCAGCTTTCCTTTTTTTTTTTTTTTTAAGATTTACTTATTTATTTGAGAGTGAGAGCGCACTTGTGAGTGGGGGGAGGGGCAGAGGGAGAGAATCTTCAAGCAGACTCCCCACTGAGCGCGGGGCCCTACAGGGGCTTGATCTCAGGAGCCATGAGATCATGAACTGAGATGAAACCAGGAGTCGGACGTTTAACCGACTGAGCCGCCCAGGCAACCCATGATTTCAGCTTTTCACTGTGGGGTATGATAGCTGTAGGCTTGTCATGTAGGGATTTATTATGTTGAGGTACATTCCCTCTATATCAGTTTGTTCAGAGTTTTTATCACAAATGGATACTGAATTTTGTCAAATGCTTTTTCTGCATCTATTAAGATGATCACATGATTTTTATCTTTCATTTTTTTTTTAAAGATTTTATTTATTTATTTGAGAGAGAGAGAATGAGAGAGAGGGAG